GGCACACACAAAGACACCCACCCACCCACCCATTTTAGTTATTTAAACTTTTAATGCAAATTGTTGACAACATCCACCCTTAATGCGGTTGAACTACAGAACAGAGTAAACATCCGCTCCACCTAGCATCGACCATGCCAGTACTCACACCTATCATAACATAATTGAGATTTGCCTGAAGATATTTCTATTTAAATTTCTGATGATAAAATTGATTCAACAACGGTTAAAATTTTAATTTAATTTAACAATAATGAATTGAATTATTGTTATGGGCCATATTTAACTTTCCTGTTTTTGTGCTTGTATTTTTAACATTTTCTTTATTGGAATGCACAGGTCTTTATTTTAGTTCCCTATATGACGTCACAACTAAGCATTGGCAGAGCTCTGGTTGGCAGAACTACCATGGCGACAAAGGACGATGATCTATATATCAGCTTAGGCCATTGAATAGAGAGTGCTAATTGTATACTTGGTACTAATGTTTTGATGCTGGTTATATAATTTAAGTCATATATATTGATGGCTTTTACAGTTTTGGTATCAAGCAATTTGATATCCCATTAGTATACCATTGACATATCAAATTATGATCCGTCCATCTGCAATAATACCCATTTGTAAATGTTGGAATGGAACTGCATGCTCTTAATTCTAACCTATAAATTAATGATGCATTTCCACTCATTAACCATTAGTATCAATTACACCCGTTTTTTTAAAATGAATTTAACAGGAAAAACTTATTTTATTACAATCCTTTCTGATTTCCCTTCAAAGGGCAAATATGTGTATTAGCATGTGGTATAAATAAAATATTTGTACAGTATGAATGCTGTATCAATGATATGCTACTCGCATAAATTTTCATCAAAAAGAAACTTGGATAACCTCGTTTCCATAGTATGTAATAGCTATGGACAATTATCCGTTTTTCGTCATCATCAGCATCACAAACCCATGATGCAGAAAAAGGAGAAGGAGATGCACATTGTTCTCAGGTTTATCATTGAACTTTACATTTCCTTTGTTGATAAAAAATTATATGCATAAACAGCTGAAGAGAGAATTGGTTAATGTTGTTTTACTCATATTAAATGATAAAGCAATACACCTTATCATGGTGCCATTGTGGAAAATTGTATTTAGTAATGGAGGTGTATTGACTTTGAAGTGCTTTAATTGCATGTCTTGATTTAAAAAAACCTATGACATCATGGCGAAGTTCCCTATTTGAATACAGTTTAGCATAATCTAAAATATTGGTGTTGGTCCTCTTGATCAATTGTCCATTTACTCTTTAAGTTGTACATATTTGCATTAATATTAATAAAATATTCGTCATTCCCTGATCGATGTCTTTACCCTTATATCATTTGTTTTTTAATACATTTCTGTCACTTTAAAAATAATTATAAAATTATAAAATTCATATCTCTAGCCAACTGTTATATGCACTATTTCAATTCTGGCCTTGGGATGAAATCAGAGAATGAAAATCCAATATGCACAAATCACCGCTGGTTAAGTAGCTTAGCAGATTAGCAAGTCTTGTTTTTATATTAAGCCACGGTAGGGAACTGAATATTTGAATATCTTAGAATTCTGCTTCCGGCGGAGCTTGAGGATTTGTCAATTTTCCCACTCTATCTCCGATTTATGAGACTGCTACTAGTGTATCACACGAGCCATTTCTCGTTCACACACACACACACACACACACACACACACACACACACACACACACACACACACACACACACACACACACACAACTTCTCCAGCATATTTTGCACAACGGATGGGTATCTTTATATCGTACACAGGCTTCAAACTTGTGGACAATAATTTGATTTAGTCTACTGCTGTCATCATCAATCCCTATTTTTGTTTTATTGCTCTTAGCATAAGCAATCGATTTCTCATATTCAATAACTTCTCATTTCCTTTGTAACTTTCTTACGCATGCTCTACTGGTATCCACACTTTAAAAGAAAATTGTTACTAAACTATTTCTGTTAAAGTTGCACATCTATTTTGAACATGCTGTAAGCGACCTCTACGTCCTGTCTGGTAAGGTGAGTTCATTGAAGAAGTTCTACTCAAGACTTAAGGTCAACAAAAATTATGCCGTCAGTACAAATATGCATTTGGTTCAAAACATACACATACGAATCCAACTTTTTGAAACATTCCTTGCTTGCACTCTTCTTTCAGAACAAAATTTATATCAGATTTTGAAATAAAAAATAATGGCTGAAAATCATACATTAACACTAACAGACGTAAAGTTAACGTTTTGCTTTTTAATAGTGATAACCACTATTACAAATGTGGTTGGGGAAAATTGCATGAAAATTTGGAAGACGAATTTACTTACTCAAATATTTCCTGATAGATGCTACATACCTATCAAAATAGATGCATCTGCACAAATAAAAATATTGACTTTCAAATTATCCAGATTGATTCAAATAAGTGTTTACATTAATATGTATAATTCAGTGTTTTTATTATTATTATTATTATTATTATTATTATTATTATTATTATTATTATTATTATAATTATTATTATTATTATTAGTAGTAGTAGTAGTAGTAGTAGTAGTAGTAGTATTTTATTATTAGTAGTATTAGTATTATTATTATTATTAGTTGTAGTAGTAGCATTTTATTATTATTATTATTATTATTATTATTATTATTATTATTATTATTATTATTATTATTATTATTATTATTATCTAAAGGAAACATTCCTATTTATTGCCTAAAATGGGTTGTAGACTTTAAGATTCACTTGTGATGATTATATGCAAACATTCGAAGCAAATTTACTCGAAGTACTAAGCTTGACTTCCCTCAGCAGTTTTATGATAAGTACAGTGAGTCACCCTTATAAATAACCTTCGGTGTTAACCACGTGACGGTGCTGAACTAATCGAATGTTGTATACACTGACTCCAATAATCAGTCAAATGTGGTGAACAGGCACACTTCCTTTGGCCACTATTCTTGTGCAAATTACTGTACAAAAATAAGCTGCAGCATACTGTTATGTTATTTAATTATTTGGCTCTTAGTTTTAGCTTTGTTTTGTTCCAGTACATGTTACTCTAATGTAACTTTGTTGACTGGATTTGATATTGTTCAGAAATTCAGTTCAGTTCTGTTTGATCCGTTACTATTTTATTTTACTGATAAACAACCAGCAATAGAAACACTGTATCTAGATTCTGACCTTGATTCAGAACCAGTGAAAATTTAGTAAAAACTTTTTAAAAAGGTTTGAAAAAGTCTTTCTCAGAGTGAGAACCATTAAGTTAAGTCTAGGCCATACCTGGCTTACATGATATGAAGCATGTATTTATTGTTAAAAACATCTAATTTTTTTAGAAGGTTGACCCTCATCCTGGAATCTGTTTTATGTCCTAAATTAGTGTATAGGTCAACTTGGCATGGCCATCAAATCACGGTTGGTCACTTTGCTGATAATATTACTGAATATTTCATTTTTTAATCCTGCACAATCGACGTTATGGACATACATTTTTCCTTTAGATGGAAACCGCGTTTACTGTGTTGCCTGGTTTTTAATCATCGTCTTAACGTTCTGCATATATAATTATTATATTGTGACAATTTTCAATTATTGTATTTCTCCACTAATTAATTTCCTTCTATATTCTCTTAATTTTCTGTATTTTGTATGAAATCAAGAGCATTAGCTGTAACCTCAGATACCCCTCAATAATTATATAAAGCACCGACCATTATTAAATAATAATGAGAATATTTAGGTTGCATTTTCCAAAATTTGTTTATTATAATTAGTGCAAGCTATGGCTAATTATTCCTTTTTGCTTCGTTATCCAAGTCAGAATGAAGCTTAATTCAACAAATATTTTAGGCTCTGTTCGGACCTACTCAATGCATTTTTCAAGGATCAGCATGTTTGAAAAATTAAAAGACAATATTAATGATCGTATTAGGGATTAAAATAGGATGCAATTAATGCAGTGATACCTTAGATTGTCCTGTCTGTCTGTCTGTCTTACCTCATCAACCTCCTACTAATTGATGTCATCGTCAAGTCAATGTTCTTTTGACTTGACTACTATTATAAAATTTATCAAGCATTGATTCTCCTGCAGTAGACTGGACCCTAAATTTATCGTTCTTTCCTTACTCACTTTGTCGATGTTTTCTGCTTGTAACCCCGTCTACTATAAATAGGTCCTCACAATAATTATCCAGATCTTTTCTTGGACACCTTTTTTCTTTAGTGATGCAGCTATCTTTGTTTTTTTTGTTGTTGTTGCTGTTGTTACTTTATAGATCATATTTTCTAAAAACATAAATTTGAAATAATGGTGCTTAGTTTGAAATAGTTTGAAAATAGTTCTCGCAAGTATACATTTTGTGAGAAAATGTAAAAGATCTGACCAAATATGATGAGTTTCAAAGTTAGACAGGCGACTGGAAAGACCAGCAACACTCATTTTCATTTAAAGTGTATATTTGCTCAAAGAATGATATATGCAGAATACATATATTCTTATATATATATATATATATATATATATATATATATATATATATATATATATATATATATATATATATATATATATACAATGGTACCTATTAGTAATCAACTGTGTACAACTTTGAAAACGGCCAATTATATACCATACAGCAGGCTTTGTATGTAGTTTTAAAAGAGACAGTAGAGACGACCTATTTGGCTCTGATCGGATGTCAATAGCAATATGCGACGTCGTCGATACAAGAAATGTTAATTACATTTAGATGCAGGCAGATATAAAACCACTGAAGAAAATTGTGAATAAAATTGACTGAAAATTATTCAGATATGTAGACGTTTTAAGCTTTTTATATGCATTTGTATATGAATATCTACATCTGCAGTAAATTATTTATGTACAATTTTGTTCTTTTTATCTTTTTGTTTTACTACTTGAATTACAAATAGTTATGACCGTTCCGATAGCTTAATGGTTAAAGCGTCCGCCTCGGATTCAGGAGGTTGCGGTTTCGAACCCAGGCCGAATCATAGCAAAGACGTATAAAAATGGTACTAACAGTGGCTGATAGCATTAAGAGGTTAGTATTAGGACTGGTCGGCCTGGTGTCAGGATAATGTGACTGGATGAGGCATGTTTGCAGCATGATGCCCCAGTGCTGGACATCACTATAAACTGCCACACTGCACTGCATACATTATTTTATCTCTTCCTAAATTATCCGTTTTCTCAATTAATACTAAACTCTGTGTTCGTGTGTTTTCTAGTTTATTTATATGTGTCCTAGTTTAGTTTAGTTTAGTAGAACATTTATACCAGGTAAAACTCTTTCATTCTAGCATCTATTTATATTTACAATTCCGTGACCTTAGTACATTTCTCTGTCATACTCTGATCGACAGTTGAAAATGTGATATTAACTTCTTCTCTGCATGTTTAATATCTTCAAAATTATCCTTAAAGCCTTTGTTAATTGAATGACAATACGATTGAATTAATTGAATCACAATACGTGTTTTGCTGAAAGAAAAAGCTTTGTTAACTGACATCCGAGTTATCGATGAGAATTGATGAATTTGTAATAAGATTGATGTTCTATGAGAATTGATGAATTTGTAATAAGATTGATGTTCTATGAGAATTGATGAATTTGTAATAAGATTGATGTTCTATGAGAATTGATGAATTTGTAATAAGATTGATGTTCTATGAGAATTGATGAATTTGTAATAAGATTGATATTCTATGAGAATTGATGAATTTGTAATAAGATTGATGTTCTATAAGAATTGTTTAATTTGTAATAAGATTGATGTTCTAGCTTAAGTCATTGTTCAGAGAATCACGTAGCTGTTCTTTGACTCTTCCATTTTTCTCTAAAGATTCAAACTGAAAATCCGTAGCACTTCTATCATATATTCAAGAAGCCAGTTAATTTGCTTGAAAAATACCATTAAATTCTTTTATTCTTCATCTTTATTGCCAAAAATGAATGCAATTGTGTCATTTAGTGAAAAGTTGAAGATAATTGTTTAAAGGAAACATCAACAATCTTGGCCTTACCATAACAAATTCTGCAAAACGATTAGCAATGGATAGCGGAGGTACTGGTGGTGGAAGTGGGGTCGTGGAAGTGGATGCAGCAACGATAACTCATACATTGATAAATTCCAAAAAATCTTTGAAAAATATTGCTGAATATTTGATACAATAGCAAGCTGAATCACCACTACCTGCACCACTAAGTGGAATAACATGGCTTTTGACATTATTTATCTATTCTTAAAAAAGGTAAACAAATGAAGCCATCTCGTGCAATAGTGAAACTGAAAGTAAGTACATTATTATTTGTCTCACAAGACATACTATCTAGCATATTAACTGTAGATTTTTCAACACACACTTCATTACTACAATAACCTGTGATGTCAGTCTCTCGACTAATTTAACTGGGTTATCGATGTCTGCCACCTGGGTGTTTTAATTAGTACTCACCCCAATTTTAAACGAATTAATGATTTTTGTAAACTAGTATTATAACCTTCTTTGTAAATTAATTCAAAGCTAGCTTGATCTACAATATTCTTTGTTGGATCAAACGCTTTACATAGGGAAATGATGTCGTGCATTCAGACAGTAGTTTTCATATACTGAATTAAATTGATTATTATGAATGAACACACACACACACACACACACACACACACAAACAAACACACACACATGTTGCTGGGGTTACTCACTCTGGTATATGTTTATCTGATAAATGGTATAGAATATTCCATATCTATGTGCTGCTATCCATGCTGTTCAGTTTAACTGCCTTTCCCTAAATTTAATATCACGTTCTTTAATTTCTACTGACAGAATCATTACTGTCGAAATTTAAAGTGTAATTTTTTAGATAGTGGTTTGTATGTAAAATAGTAATCTTATGAACATAGATGATGGACCCGGGTACGGTGCACTAAGTATTAATTTTCCCGGTCTAAACTACATGATTTATATTTTAGTCGAAAAATAGATCATAAGAGTGTTTGTAGATCGCTTCAAACATCGATGAAAGAATTATTCCCTACCACCTAAAGAGGTAAAATATTCTATAACTTTTCTTTATTAATTACGAAACTTCACATTGCACTCGTAATGTTTCTCATTTTTTAAAAGAAATTGCCTTTCTTCTTTGTCATCACAAATCGTCTTCTTCTTGTATCTCCATCATAAAAGAAATGTATTCTTAAATGTTTTAGCTTTATCTTCTTTATCAAAATTTTGGCGCGATTACTTCACGCTTTATTCCATATCTGTAGTTCAGTCCTTTCAAAATCCATTATTTTCATGGACGTTTATAAACAGTCTTTTTCCGTAATCCCTGTTTTGTTACCTATTTATAGGCGCATACTAAAGTTTACTCTACCTTTATTCTGAATCAGAACTTCAAAACCTTGCATGTGTCGAATAATTTATGATATAAGGTTTTAATAAGTTTATATATCACAGGTCTCTTTCGGCTTCTGACCCTAAATTTGTAATTGTGCAGAAACAATGTAAGCATTATCTAGCAGTAGGGAGGGTGAACATATCATTTTACTCGAGACCTTAATTATGAAAAATAAAGCTTCCAACGAAAATCAAAACATCTAAAGTCAATAACGTCAAATCAAAGTCTCTAACTATTTATAGAGTTCTATGATTGGATTAGCTCATCTTGTTATTTTAATCGCTGACGTTTTAATTCATTTTTTATGCGTGTCTGTTTACGTGATGTCACTCAACGCTGGTCGTCCACCCTCCCTGCTGCTGTAATGAACCAAATATTTTATCAAGTCCGTTACGATATCTTGACCTAGGATCATGCAAATTTATTGTAATGATCCAAACGCGTGTGCAATAAAATTTTAAACTTGATCATATCCATATCCGCTGAACATCAAGTATAATCAATATTTTGTAAAGTATGATCATGGCCTTTGTTAAATACAACTAAAATATTACAGTTGTCTCTGATCATTTGTGTATGACGTTTGGTAACATAAATCAAGTCTGTATTGTATGCATTCCTCTGGAAAATGTCCAAGCTGCATTTAATTGCTTGTTCAGCATCACTTTGTCGTATACTACGATGACTATTAATACGTCCATCCAGTTCATCCATTAATTTATTAAATTGGTAGTTCTGGGCATCAAGCAGGAAAAATCTTGTAGAGGGATAATAATTTAACTTTTGAACAAATTCTTCGTATTTTCTTCTGATGAAGATCTCAATCCTTTCGCTGATAACTTCATTGGCTAATGTTCGGTTACAAAAATATATTCCAAGATTCCGCTCGAGATACCCAACATTAGATCTTGATACAAAATTTATCCACGAGCTAGTATCATACCGCCATTTTCAGGGCGAAGATAAAATGTTAAAAAAAGATAAGTAGATACAGCTAAATGAAATCGTAGGTCACATTTTCGCTGTTGTCCGGTTGTTCTCGTGAATCAGTCTTCGTGTTTAAAACGAATAGCGGATATCACATCTTGTGCACATCAAATCCGGTTTCGTTTGATCAGCAGCGGGATATGACAGAAAAACTTCTCGTGGATAAATTTTTTAGAATGTTGTGTTGATACGCAAGCTGGACAATATAGTTCAAAGCTGATTAAAACAAGATAGATCCGGAAAATGCTTTATGCATACTGATCATTTCACCGCATCAAAACTATTTATTTGTCTAACCTTGATTCAGCACAAAAACACCAAACGTAGCGACGAAACAACCTCAAATAATTATATCATTGTTGCTGCGATTTTTCAGCAGAGATAATAACGAAACTATAAAGAAAATATCTGAAGCGCTAACAGGGGAACCTGATTAGCTGCTCGGGGTTGTCTCTTGTAGCGGAAATAGATATACGATATCAAGGCGACCGACCTTGCCACCTTTGCGGCCTTAGCGATCTGCACACGGGTACAATTGACTTCATGACGACATCGAAGATAAATGCGACGAGTGCCTGGTATTCATTAGCAGTGGAAAGCAGCTAACTATACTTGTTGATGAATCGTCGGTGGAGGAACAAATTCAACAGGCAATTGAAGGAAATTCATCCAACCCTCTCATCAAATCAGAAGTAAACCAAATTATTGACAAATTACCTCAACGAGTTTTTAACAATAAATACATCAAATCCGTTATCTCGATTAGGCGCAGATCCACTATCCTGGTCATTTCAGAAAGCGAAATGTCTATTTGTCGTATACTGCATTACCAGCTCATAAAGGCGGTCCTGGTTGTCGAATAATCAACGACGAAGACTATATTAATGTATCAGCTTGTGGAATGTGTAAATCTAAAGCGACTTGGAAATCACTAAAACCAATTCAAACTGTGATCAGCTACAGAAAATCTTTCAAGGAGAAAGTAAACTCCGATTACGGAGTAGAATCATATTTGGACATCAAAGGTGACATTACATTCACACCCGAAGATGAAAGGCGCGTTGTAGTTCAGCGGGAGTCATTACACAGAATAAAAGTAATTTCTGATGTGATTATCGTAAATGAGTGGCACGACAACAGTCTTCCTCGGTATGGTTAAGCCAAGAAGGATGGAACAAATTTGCTTTATCAGTCAATATCTGTAAACGATTAATCGTCCTTGACGCAGATGCCAACGAAGACGATCTAATATTGTTCAGGGAAAAGATGGGACGATCATCAATGAAGTTTGTCATAAACGATTTAAAACCCGATCACGATAAGAAGTTTATCATTGAATCATTTCACAAAAGCAATCTGTTGACGCTGCTGGAGCAGTTAAGCTACAATAAGACCCGTAACAACTTTGCACGAAACAAAGTTTTTGTATGCACACACAACAAGCACAAGACAAACTATTCCGTTGAAAATCTCTCCCGGCAATTACAGCACAAACGATATCGAATTAGATAATATAATGCTGATACCGATCCAGCAAAACGAAAGCTAGATTTCAGTAGTATAAACACCGCATTCGACGATTACGACGTTGTGATATTCAGTCACAC